TGAGTGTACTCTCTTCTCTCTTCTTCTCTCCTTCCTTCCCTTCCTTCCTTTTCTTTCTCTTCCTTCCATCCATTCTTCTTTCTTTCTCCTAGCTTATCTTTCTCTCCTTCCTTTCTCTGTCCTTCCTTTCTTTCTTCCCTCTTCCCTTCCTATCTTTGGTCCTTTTCTTTCTTCTCTCTTCTCTCTCTCCCCTTCCCACCTCCTTCTCCCTCTCCCGGTCCCTCTCCCTCTTCTTTTTGAGAAAGGGTCTCACTATGTGCCCAGGTGGCCTCAAACTCAAGATCCTCCTCCTTAGCCTTCCAAGTATAGGATTACAGGTGTAAACCACCATTCCCAGCTATTTCCTAGCTATTCTGCAGCCCTTTTTCCAGTTCACCACTGCCAATCACCTCATAGTGCTCACACAGGGCCAGGGGCACAAAAGACAGCATTTGCTCAGTGGAGGTGGGGCTCCTCTACCAAAAAGCAGCAATGATCACCTACAGAAAGTGCCTTTTTTCCTTTGAACCCTCAGATGCTGGCCCAGCACCACCTGTGGGCTCCTGGTATGTTGTGCCTACATTGGGACTACATTCCCACTCAATTAGCAATTCGTCCCATACTGGCTGGCCCTGCCCCACCCCCTGTCCATCAAGTATATTCAGCCCTCAGCTAACGACAAAACCCCCCCTCAGAAGCCTTCCAAGTGAGTCCAAGGAGCCGCCTCATCACTGCCCCTATCATTGACTTCTTATAATGCTCATTTCTATTTTTCTGATCCTGTGACAGAGCCTAATTCTGGTTCCACCACCCAACGGCTGTATGGTTTTGGCCAATTACCAAGTCAATAGAAATACCACCTTAATTACCCCAAAGTTGGAATTGGCAACATTTAAAATAACTGTAGGCAGAGTGCGGTGGCTTACACCTGTAACCTCTAGCTACTACAGGAGGCAGAAATCAGGATTAGGTTCAAACCAGCCCTGTGCAAATAGTTTGTGAGACCCTATCTCAAAATACCAACCCAAAAAAGGGCTGGCAGAGTTGACCCAAGTGGTAGAATACCTCCTAGTACACCAAATAAAAAAAGTTAAAAAAAAAAAGAATAAAATGACTATGATATTTTTTAAGTACCATTTACAGTAACTGAAGTAGGAGGTGAACTATCTCTATAAAAGTCTATGGAGAGAGCTGGGGGATTACTTCAAGTGGTAGACACTTGCCTAGCAAAAAACAAAAGACTTACATAAATCTATGGTAATCAAGACGTGTGATTTAGAGAAAGAATACATACATTGTTTAGGGATACAGAAAGAGGGGCAAAACTAGACCCAGGCAACTCAAATACTACACATATGGTCAACTGTTATAATTCAGTGGAAAAAAAGATAGTCTTTTTTTTTGGTACTAGAGTTTGATTCAGGTCCTGCTGCATTTCCTAGGAAAGTGCCTTATACCACTTCAGTCATGCCTGCAGCCCTATAGGACAGTCTTTTCATCAATGGTGCTGAAAACAATTGGACACTCATACACAAAAACAAAAATAGAAACCTTGAGTTATATACCTCCAATCAAATACAAAATTAACAACAAAGTGAGTCATATGGAGGAGTGGCTTAAGTGGGCAGTGCCTGCTTTGTAGCATGAGCCCTGAGTTCAAACCCCAGTCCACCAAAAAAAAAAAAAAAAAGAATGGAATTGAAAGTTCAAAGCATAAAATTATAAAACTTACAGGACAAAACATGGAGAAAATCTTCATGCCTATGCGGTAGGCAAAGATGTTTAGATAGAATTCATTTTTAAAAACACATAAATTACAAGCCATAGACGAGAGGAAAAATATTTGCAAATATATAATAATATATGTATATATATATAATATATGTATATAGATATAGTATATATATATAAAATATGTATATATATATATAATTTTAATATGTTCTGGACTTCTTATCCAGAATAATTAAGTACTTACATCTAAAAATTCAACACAGATTAGGGATTTAGCTCAGTGGTAAGAGAACACTACCTACCATGCACAAAACCTTGGGTTCAATCCCAGCACTGAAAGTGAAAAAAAAGAAGAGGAGGAGAAGAGGGCAAAGAGAAGGAAAGGAGAGAAAGGAGAAGAGAGGAGAAGAGCAAAAAAAAAGACATCAAATAGCATACTAGCACAGGAAAGAGCTCAGCATCTTAGCCATTAGGAAATATAAATTAAAACTCACAGATGCTCCAGCATTAGAACGGGGCAAAAACGTGACAATCTAAGTGCTAGGAGAAATGTGACAATTGTTACTGATTAATTAAAGCCCAGACCTTAAATTACCATCAGGAAAGAAAGGACAATAAAGATAAAATTATGCAGAAGTTTTATGCACAAATTTAACAGCTAAGTAAACTATGGACAGATTTCTTGAAAAACCAATTACCCAAACCCAGTAAATATAAATATATGGATAATCCCCTACCTATATGAAATAAATTCATATTTATCCCCTATCATACAAAGAAATTAAATTCATACTAAACAACCTTCCCACCAGATGCTTTGCTGGTGAATCATATCAATATTTAGGGAATGTAATCCACCACCATTAAGGTGTAATAAAGGAGAAAAATCAAAAACAAAAAAAAAAAAAGAGAAAAATCAATATCCATTCTCAATAGATATAGAGGAGTTCTATGACAAAATTGAGATAGTCATTTAAGATTAAAATGCTCAACAAAGAAGAAATGTAAACGAATTACCTCCAACTAGTAAAGGTGGCAGTGACATAATAATTGAAACAGGGAGTGTTCCCCTGGGGCTGGGAGAAACACAAGGATGTCCTGCCAGCATGGCACTGTGCCCTATGGCAGTCCCAGTCCATTAACGCATGAGAAAGAATAAAGGACATAAGGATTGTATGTAAAGCAGGAAAATGCCTTTATTTGCAGACTACACAATTGTGTAAGTAGGAAATTTTAAGGAATCTATTTTTTAAAAAAGCTACTAGAATAAGTGAATTAAGTAGTCACAAGAACTGAGGTCAACATTCAAGCCCATGTAGTAGTGGTGTAAGTTTAATCAGTGCAACAGAAGACAAAGTCAAAACAGATTCATGTAGATACAAGTCATTGATGTCTAACAAAACATGAAAATAACTCAATGGGGAAAATACTTTATCTTTAATATGTAATGCTGGAAGAACTGGATATCTACATGATAAAGAATTCACCTACATCTCAAAATTTTGAGATGATCATAGATCTAAGTATAAAATTTAAAACACACAGTTTCTAGAAGAAAACAGAGGAGAAAATCTTTGTAACTTTTGGGTTACAAAAGTTTTGGATAGGGAAAAATTTCTTAGAACACAAGTACATAGATGAAAAAAATCTTATAAACTGGACTTCATCAAAATTAAAGTTTTCTGTTTATCAGAGAAAAAACAAGCAAGTCTCAAATTGGGAGAAAATATTCACAATACACACATATAACAAAGGGCTCAGCCAAGCCAGTAGCTCACAGCTGTAATGCTAGCTACTCAGGAGGCAGAGATCAAGAGGATCAAGGTTCAAAGCCAGCCAGGCAAATAGTTCCACAAGACCCTGTCTTAAAAAAACCCTTCAGGAGGGGGTGGGGGCAGTGGGGAGAAATGAACCAATCCTTGTATGCACATATAATAAAAAAGAAAAATGGAAAAAAAAAATAAAAAATAAACCCAGTGCTGCAAAAAAAAAAAAAAACCCTTCATAAAAAGGGCTGGTGGGGGGAGTTGGCTCAAGGAAAAATGGGCAAGGCCCTGAATTCAAGCATCAGTACTGCTAAAAAAAAAAAGGGGGTTGATTCAGATTATATATGTACTGAAAAAAAAAACCTCCTAAAATTCAGCCGGGCACACACTGCAATTCTAGCTACTTGGGAGGTATACAGACTGGAAGGATCAAGGTAGCCAGCCCTGGCAAAAAGTTAGCAAGACTCTATCAAACCAATAAAGGTGGCATAGTGGCTTGTGCCTGTCATCCCAGCTACTCAGGAAGCCTGAACAGGAGGATCGAGATCTAGGCCTGTATGGTCCAGGCATTAATGTGAAATACTTTCTCAAAACTAATGAAAGCAAAAAGGCCTGAGGGGCATGGTCAAGTAGTAGAGCACCTGCTAGAAAGCCTGAGGTTCTAAATTCAACCTCCAGACAGGGACCTGTATCTAAACTGCTT